TTTAAATCGAAATAAAAAAGTTTTCAATTTGAGTATGTAGGTGTAAACGATACTATGGTGTAGTTTATTAAATTTTTTATTATTCGAATATATTTTTATGATTTCTAAGGCAAACTGTACAAAAGATGTGCAATGTAATTTTATGTTAAATGTAGTACCAACATGTCTGTAGACTTTATAAGAGTTTAACCTATAGACTATCCTATAAAGTCTTGAAAATATTGTAAAAGAGTCGTGACAATAATGCTTAGATACTCTGACATAATCAGTAGATGTGTAATAGGCATGCAGAAGAGTGGAACACGTTTACTTAGTTTTGCAAGTGTTAAAGATTCGTTTTCTATAAGCTTTAAAGAAATATCTGAGATTTTAAAGCCACCTAAAATTAACGTCTGTTACATTGGCAATCCTGTTTTACGGCAGAAAACAACACCAGTAGATTTGAAGACAGTGGAAACGCAAGAATTTCAAAAGGTACAATATTGCTATTAACTATATTTTCTAATTAATATGCTATCTCCAATGTAAAAAATTAAATAATTCCTTCGTTTTGACAATGAAATAAACGTTTGAAATAAATTAAATTTGATACGTTTATTTTTGTGTGGAAAAGGGAAAACAAATAATGCAACATATTATTACGTAAAAATTAATAAGACGTTCATATTCTATACTGTACTTTTCTTAAAAAAGATCCTAATAAAAATAAGAAAATTGTACGAAATTTATCATATAACAAAATTATTAGCCGGTACAAACTTGCAACGATCAGCTAACTCGTCATGCCTGCAGTAAATGCAAATTGTCATAATCTATGTTTGATACGATCGTAACAATAGTAAACTAAAAGACAGATATTCTTCAATAAATAAAGAAACAATTCAACTGAAAAATATTATATCATGAAATGAGGATTTTTGTTTTCTTTTTTATTACAAGAATATACAATAAAAGTGATGGAAACAAATTAGAAACTAACAAATTTTGTTGTATATTATTGTTGTACATAAAAATTTCATACTTCATTGAACGGTATGATATAATTTGAAGCAATATACGCACCAACAGTGCATAACAGTGCCAACACGGTGGCAATAAAAAAGAAATGATGTATCGACTGTTGGTTTTAGCGCATTCTTCAAAATTCCATGACGAGTTAACTCGTCATTTCCGGTTAACAAGTTAATTATACGATATTAGATTCCTTAGCAAGCTATTACTAATATTTTGTATGTTTATTGTAGATACTTCATAATTTACATAAAGTACTGAGAAAAAGTGGCACAGTAGGACTATCAGCGCCGCAACTCGGTCTTTCTTGGCAATTATTTGCTCTGGAAATAACGGAACAATCTTTGAAAGAACTTCATCCATATTATCGAAAATATAATATCGAACCTTTTCCATTGACATATTTTATTAATCCAAAAATAAAAATAATAAATCCTGAGAAAACAGTGTGCTATGAAATGTGCGGAAGTATTCCTTATTATTGTGCGCAAGTGCCGAGAGCGAAGGAAATTCAAATCGAAGCATTCAATCGATTGGGGGAGCCGTTTCGTTTCAAAGCAAAAGATGTGTTAGCCAGAATTGCGCAACATGAAATGGATCATTTACAAGTAAGACACCTTTACATTATTTTATTTTATATAAATGTTTATTTATAAAAATC